TGGGTTTGGGGTTTGGGTTTGGGGTTTGAGGTCCCAGCCCAGCCCCCAGCCCCGCTGTCGGTGTTTGCAGTGAACGGGGGCTGGTCCTCGTGGACWGAGTGGTCGAGCTGTAACGCGCGCTGCGGCCGCGGTTGGCAGAAACGCTCGCGCACCTGCACCAACCCCGCGCCCCTCAACGGCGGCGCCTTCTGCGAGGGAATGTCCGTGCAAAAGGTCACCTGCACCTCGCTGTGCCCCGGTGAGTGCCCGGGGAGGGTTCCTGGGGGGACAGATCCCGGGACAGCCCTCGGTGGGAAGCACCAGGAGGGGCAGGGGGCTTTGGGACCCCCCAAAGTGGGGAAGGGAATGGGGAACGCTGCCGAGTTTGGGGTGTGAGTTTGGGGACAGTGCCAGGCTCGTGTGGCGGGGCTGGAATTTACCCTGGCACCACCAAAACCCTGCTCAGGGGAGAAATCAGGGGCCTGGGTGGGGTCTGGGGATAATTTAGACAGGAACGCTGATGTTAATAACGTCAGAAAAAGAAACACAGAAACCTGAGATGAGAACATCATTAAAAATATTATTTATCCTGCGAAAGTTTTCTTTGAAATACCTGAAATGTGGAGTTCTGGGGGGCAGAGGGGACACGGGTGTTGCTGTGGGATGTCCCCGGTGGTTCAGGCAGGGCTGACGTTGGTTTTTCCYCCGTCCCCACGCAGTGGACGGGAGCTGGGAGGTGTGGAGCGAGTGGTCAGTGTGCAGCCCCGAGTGCGAGCACCTGAGGGTGCGGGAATGCGCCGCCCCCGCCCCCAGGAACGGCGGCAAAAACTGCGAGGGACTGAGCCAGGAGTCGGAGAACTGCACCGAGGGGCTCTGCATCCAAGGTGAGCCCTGCACGGGGCTGGGCTGGGGCTTGGGATGGCCTGGAGGGTAAATTGGGGTCCAGGGAACCCCATGGGTGGGGTTGGGGTCCAGGAAATCTGTGTGARTGGGTTTGGGGTCCASAGAACCCCATGGGTGGGTTTGKGGTCCAGGRAGCCCCATGGGTGGGKTTGGGGTSCACAGAACCCCTGTGATTTGGTTTGCAGTCCAGGGATCCTGTGTGAGTGGGTTTGGGGTCCAGGGAACCCCRTGGATGGGTCTGGGGTCCAGGGAACTCCATGGGTGGGGTTGGGGTCCACAGAACCCCTGTGAGTGGGTTTGGGGTCCAAGGAACCCCTGTGGGTGGGTTTGGGGTCCAGGGAACCCCATGGGTGGGTTTGGGGTGCAGAAAACCTGTGTGAGTGGGTTTGGGGTCCAGGGAACCCCATCCCCATCTGTAATTTTCCCGTGTGTGGTTTTCCATGCGAAGTTTGAAATTTCTCGGTTGCCGAATTTGTGTCGCGCTTTTTTGTTGTCGTTCTTTGCCTGTGAGCRTTCAGATGAGTCTAAAACCCCAAATCCACTCAGGTCACCCCAAATCCCTCCCTCCCTGCCCCAGATGGCTCCAAGCCCCTCCAAGAGCTGCATTTCCAGGTGTGACCTTGTCCCTCCTTCACGTCCCGAGCTCTCCACGTTATTTATCATATCCCATTATTTATAGGGCCGTAATTGCTTTCTCAGCTCACAGGATCTGGTGCAATCACCCCATTTCTCAAAATTTCTCCCCTGTTCATCTCCCRSYCTGTGCCTTTCCTGCTCTGCCTCTCATCCCGTGGGGAATTGCGGAGGAAATGCAGCAAACCAATCTCTTGGAGGTTTTTATCAGGCACAAAACTCGTTAATTTTGCTCCTTCCGAGGCAAAAATAGAAAACTTTCCTTGGATTAACAAACAAGGGCTGAGCTGGAAGGGAGGATGGGAATGGGGAGGACACGCCCTGGTTTGGGTCTGGCTGGGAAAACACCGATCCTCGGGATGAACATTTGGATTTGGGGTCAGTGAATGGAATGGGGATGAAATGGGAGCAGCTCTGAGGTTTTTTATTCAGCCCTTGAAAGGAGAATTTGGGAATGCCCCAAAGAGAACAGACGGGAACATCCCTGCCTGCCTTGGGGTCTGAATCCCCTGGGTGGATCCCATTGGATCCCCCATCCTTTTTGAGGAGCAGCTCAGAGCTTTTCCTGCCGGGAATTTCTCAATTTGTCCTGAAACTCGCACCAGTTGGGCAGATCCTCACCGAGGTGCAGATAAAACATTTGGGGTTTGGTGCAGATGAAACATTTGGGGTTTGGTGCAGATAAAACATTTGGGGTTTGGTGCAGATGAAACATTTGGGGTTTGGTGCAGATAAAACATTTCCAGGGCTGTCATATGGATTCCCTGGAATGCAGAGGTCGCTCCGACCCCAGACAGTCCCCACACCTCACTGCTGCCTCCGATATTTGTTCTTGTGCTGTTTTTTTCCCTCCCAGTATTCCCAGTAGGATCCTTTGCCATGGTGGATTTCTCTCTCTCACACAGAGGTGAAAGCTTTCTCTTTGCTTAATAAAAGAGAAGGTTTTTTTTTTTGTTTTTTTCCGAGAGCTTTTTGTTTTTCTTTTATCTGTTTGCTTTAAAGTTATTTTTCCCGACTTCAAAACCTATTGATTTCTTCTCCCAGTGCCCAGAACCGAAACAAACAAGCAGGGCCACAAGAACTGAGCTGCAAACATGTTTTTATTAATGCTCCRCAAACAATCCCAAATCATTTTGGTTCTTCTTTTTCCGAGCAGCCCCATTGTTGTTCTCCTTTTCCAAGCAGCCTCTTGGATTTTGGGAAATCTTTTCCCTTTTAAATTTGCCCCAGCCCCATGGCAGCAGCAGCAGGGAAGGATTTTCACAGGAACCAACCAAGGATTTTCAAGGAACCAACCCAGTTGGTTCCCTCCTGGGGAAAAAACCCCAGTCTGGCACCCCTCATTTGGGGTTTTTGTGCCTCATTTTCCTGCAAAACCAATATTTCAATACCCCAACAAAAAAAAAAAAAAAAGCAAAAGTCTAAAATCCAAAAACAACCAAAAAAAAAAAAAAAAAAACAAAAAAAAAAAAAAAAAAAAAAAAAACCCACACCCCAACTTTGTGGCAAAGCCAAAATCCAACAATCTCCGGGGCTAAATATTTCTAAATTGAGCATTCTCACAATGTTCAAAACAGGAGAACGAGTCCCATAATCTTTTAGTCTAAATATCCCATTTTTAGGGATTTTAGGGCAGGTTTTAGGTTATAAATGGTCACTCAAATGCGTGGTTGGAGGGAGGCAGAGCAGTCTCATTTTGGGG